GCCAGCAACCTTTATTCCAGGTTCTCATGGGTACATTACAAATAATTTCAAATACTGGGAAAATACAGATCAAGAGAGTCTGTACTGTCGGCTCAGTCTTTTATAGTCTGGAATCTCCAAAGTACCATCAAAGAAAAGGGAACAAAGTCCTTCAAGATAAGGCAAGGCTTGAATTTTACATGACATTCACCATGTTGCCCCTTGTTACCATCACCAATGAAGAGTGAGAGTCTAAGCAAACCCTTTAAGACTGAAAAAGGATCAGGAATTTCTACCTCTCAACAATTGCCTTCACCAAATCAAGGTTGCCCAGGGTACTAACAAAATCCTAATGTGGGATCTACAAATGCACCAGGTGAAAAATGCTCAAGAGGCAGCACAGCAAGATTGTTAAAAATTGAGTCCCAAAGCACAATGCCTGGGTTGGAATCCTGGCTCCATTTACTAGTTAACTGTTCTTGGGCACAGCTTCCTTTGTGCCTCAGTTTCCTCATCTTCACAATGGAAGTAACACTTATCACACAAGGATGCTATGAGGAGCATATGAATCAATACTGCGAAGTACTTAGGACAATGCCTGCACAAGGGGAGTATCAAGAAGTGGCTGCTATTACCATTATCACCACCACCACCAACACAGGGCTAGAGTTTAGGTAGGGACCTACTTTCCTTCTCTCTTTGCATGTGAATCCATATACCTTTTCTTTTGCTTCCCCTCTCCTTGGTAGCTTGTTAGATTTCCCACAGAACTGATTTTGTGAGCCCAAAGTATGAGAAGCCAAAAATGCTTAGTGTTTTAGCAGTGGACATCTACCCAGAAGAGCCTTGGGGGAGCACATTCGGTAAAATGAATGTGACCACGGTAAATGGCCATGCATTTATTTGCAGGGGTCTTCAAATCTATCAGATGATCTACAACCCTAACAAGTAAGAGAACTGAAATGCAAGTCACTTGTCCAAGATCATTTAACTAACATCAGCTGCTAAGCAGCACATGATTCCCTGAACCCATGCCAAGATTAGCTGGATGTTGGCTAACAAAAAGAAGGCAAAACCCCCAACTTATAATAAGCATTAACAAATGAAATGGAAGGGGAAAATAAACTTGCATGATGTCCCAAGTAGACTTCTAGCCATTCCCCAACATCCTCCATGGTTTCATGACTCCCTCTACACACCTCTACCCCCAAGCACCCATCATCTCATAATCTAATCCAGGTCATACTTAAAAAGTTTCAATCAATGTCAATTCCTCCAAAACGCTTCCCCCACATCCCAGGACCAAGGAATGTTATTTGCATGTTTGGGATCAATTACCTAGTATTCCCTTTCAGAATGTAATTTGAGACCGTGGCTGTCCCTTACACACCTGTGTTTCCAGTGTGCTCAGCACTGTAAGCTGCTCACCTTGACACCCACTTGCTGGCTGAATATTGATTGAACAGGTAGATGGATTTGATGGCTCCCTCAGAGATCTTAGAGCTAAAAATGGGTTCTAAAAAGTCATCCTGCCTTCATCCACAGCACCTACTCTTGGCTAATTAAGAGGTACACGCTACTCCATTCTCACAGCCAGGCAGCTGTGATGCATCAACTAGAGCGTATTATAAGCAACAGCCTTCCAAGTTTTGTCAGTTGAGTTTTGAGTACAAGTTCTAGAAAGTACTACTTCTTCAAAGTATACAGTAAAAAAAAATTGAAGCAACAGAGCCAACAGCTATTTTCCTGGACCTACTCATACCTGACATCAATGTTCCAGCTTTAAGTTATTAATTGGGCCGAAGCAATAGCAGAAAGAAGAGTAAAAGGCCGGGTGCGGTGGCTTAGGCCTATAATCCCAGCACTCTGGGAGGCCAACGTGGGCGGATCACCGGAGGTCAAGAGTTCAAGACTAGCCTGGCCAACATGGTAAAACCCTGTCTCTACTAAAATACAAACATTAGCCACGCGTGGTGGCAAGCGCCTGTAATCCCAGCTACTGGGGAGGCTGAGGCAGGAGAAACGCTTGAACCCAGGAGGCAGAGGTTGCACTGAGTTGAGATCGCACCACTGCACTCCAGCCTGGGCGACACAGCCAGACTCTGTCTCATAAATAAATAAATAAATAAATAAAAGCTGGATCTGAGTGACAAAAGGAAAAAAACCACAGACCATTACCATCATCCATCCACCTCTCTCCCTAGCCCTGCTGCCATAACCTAAACTGTACCAAAGTCTGGGCCCTGCTTAAACCACCCATCCAACCACGTTTCTTGTACTTCAGGTTAATTCCTGTCTCAGTCAAGAGAAAGAACCGGGTTCCCATGACGGCCTAGGCAGAGGCATGTTGGGACCCAGTCTCTCTCAAATATCTGTACATATTTCTCTTCTCCTTTTGGTTGAGAGGTTTGTGGACAGATTTAAAGGAGTCCTTGATACGTCGAAACTGAACCTTCACGCCACTGAGTCACTGCTTAATTGCATCATAACAGATGTTCAGCTGCAGGTATTTCATCCAGCAGCTCAAAATCCAGAGCCTTTGCAATAGCTACCAGTGGGTCTACATCCACGTCTCTGTGTACAAAAGAATCCTGATGTGTCAACGTTCAGTATCACCTGAATTTAAGCTATGGCTCAAGTTACATGCCCTTAGGCAATTTTACCTTAGTTGCTTTTTACCAAATACGGTATCCACATGTGGGTGGACGTCAGTTTTGTCCTTCAAGATATGCAGATGCATTACTCATCCCTTCAATGTTATGCTCTTGCAATATCAATGATAAGCAAATTAGCAGACTGTATCTTTTTAATGGAAGAATTTACTCATCAATAGCAAAAGCTTTATCAGAAATTGACATTATTGAATCCTCTGGAGTTGCACAACAGAAAATAAAAAGAAACTGATATGGGGAAAACCTGACTGGTTTCTTTCAGCTGTGTATTGTATTGCTAGGTTAGGTGTGACACTTAATACCTGTGAATTTGGCTGAATCTCTAAGAATGATCAAATACACAATGCTCCGGATTTAAAACAAAACAAAAAAACTCAGTAAAATCTACTCATGTGCTGATGGATGTATACACTATGCCTTCCTACGTGTCTCCACCCATTTAGACGAAGCACACACCTTGAGTTCACAGAAATGTTGAAAACGGCCCCCTCTTGCTGCAGAAGTTCACCATCACCCATTTTCTCACTTTCTGGCTGAATGAGGCTGCCGCCTCAAGTCATCTTTCCGGTCCTCAGGTTCCTCAATCTACAAAGCAGTTATGATACCACCTTGCACACAGGGTGACTGAAGGGATAAATAATATGTTCGTGAAGGTACCTGGTTTATGCCTGGTTCATGCTGGAAAGCCCCACAAACTTTTTCAAAAAGTCATGTTTGATGCAGGAGAAAGAAGTTAGTGGTTTAACTACATCACAGGCATCAGTAGACACATGAGCCAAGTGGTGGAAGGGTGTGATCTGCAATTCCAAACCAAACTGATCGAGCTCCCACAGGATCACTGATTCCCCACGTGCCCAACATGAGCATGACCCATTCTAAACACAGGCCTGCATCCTGTGACTCAACTGCTGCAGCTTATCAGCAGCTGATGGGCTTTCTGACCCTGGGTGAGAAGACCTGACCTCCAAAGGCAGGAGGAAGGAAACCACATGATAAATATCATCACTCTGAGAGGAGGATGCTTTCTGCGCAGCTAGGGCTGAGGAAGTTGCTTCAAAACAGACTCAAGAAACGTGTAGGCTGCTGCTAGGAGACTTGGGTCCAACTGCTCCCTCCAGATCCTGCCACACCTAAATGCTCCCAAGAAGATAACTATCTCAGAGAAGCAGTGTGAGGTAATGGTTTAATGCTGGGGCGTGGTCAACAGCCAGGTGCAAAGGCCGGCTCCCCCACACTAATAACTGTATGGCATTCTCTCCAAGCCTTGCTTTCCTCATCTGTAAACAGAGATAATGCCTGACCCTATCTCTAGCCTTCTTCTGATTGTGAAATTAGATAATATATGTCATAAATAGCACAGTCTGGTACATAAGTGTCCAATAAATGAGGCTATTGTTACTGGAAAGGTGTCTGCTTCCTTCATTAGACCAGTTAAGGGGACCTGAGAACAAAGACAACCCCAATGTTTGTGTCCCCTCACAAAAATTTCTTAGATTTGATTATGAGTTTCTGTTTTCCATAGGGGGTTCATGCACGTTATTGTAACGGATTATCCCAGCATCCCCAGAGGAGTAGTGAGGGCAGGTGTTCTCTGTTTTGCAGGTATACAAAGCATCCCCCCATAAATACACCCATTCAAATCCTATTAGAAAAATAGGATCTGTTTTCCTGTCTCTTGATTTGTTTGTGAGCTTCTTGAGGGCAGAGATAGAAATTACACCCCTGTGGCCCTAGAGCCTGAGCAAAGAGCTGCAGGAGAGGCCCTCCATAAGACTGAATATTAAAAAGGGGTTGAGTCATACTAAGAATCATAATTATTCTAATGACCATGTCTCCTGGTAGTCCAATAGGAGTTCTGTTTCTAACGTAGACAACCTTAGTAAATGAGTTACAACACTGTGAATTCCCACTGAGGGAGGAGGAACAAAAGAGGATCCCAAATCAACTGCTGAATCACTAAGTCAGGGGTCCCCAGCCCCCAGGTCGCAGACCGGTAGCAGACCGGTATTGAGCCTGGTCCGTGGCCTTTTAGGAACCGGCTGCACAGCAGGAGGTGAGTGGTAGATGGGGAGCATTACGCTTGAGCTCTGCCTCCTGTCAGATCAGCAGCGGCATTCTCATAGGAGCCAAACCCTGTCGTGAACTGTGCATGCTAAGGATCTAGGTTCCCACTCCTTAATGAGAATCTAATGCCTGATGATCTGAGGTGGAAGAGTTTCATCACGAAACCACCCCCCATTTCCTCCACCCCGTCTGTGGAAAAACTGTCTTCTACAAAACCAGTCCCTGGTTCCAAAAATGCTGGGGACCACTTTACTAAGAGACCTGTGCATCGCTTTCCTTTTCCAGAAACATGGAGGAGAACACCTACCCCTTATAAGCAAAGAGGGAGCAAAGATCAATGACATAATTCACGTCTGCAGACAACTATGAGCTCACAGGAAACTGAGGTAAGAAAGGTCATTTCAGAATCATTTAATGACAAGAATGGCTGAGATGAGTATCTGCTGGGGTCTGGGCCCGCCTTCCCCTCTGATTCCCAGCACACTGTGGCAAAAACAGGCAGTCAGCTTCCAGAGCCCTTTCCCATTCACACTGCTCCTGGGCCCATGGGTCACACTGCTCTAGTGCCCTTCCCTCAACTCCAGCCCTCTCCCTTTCCAAAAACCCATCTGAATTTACTATCCTGATAAAGACTGCATTGTATGGTTCTATGGCCAAGAACTCCTAGTCAAACTGGCTATAGGCAAGCCCACTGCTGAACGAGTATGACTTTAAAAAATTGCTTCCTTGTGTTTCAAGCGAAAAAAATAACATCCCATCTCAAAATTGAAATCATATATGTATATGTGCAGAGGAAAAACAAATATTTTTTTAAAGGGGGGCAGGGATTGGGAGGCACAAAGGGCTGGGAAAATAGTTCATGGGCCAAAAGCAGTTTTCTTTCAGATAGTCTTCAGTTTAAAAGACCAAGTTTGCACATTCATGTGTTATCTAAGTTTCTGAAGCCCAGCCTCTATTTGCTCAGAGTGTGATTTAACTGCCTGGCTTCTAGCAAAGCATTAGTCACACTGTTATCTCTGTAAGCAAAGACACTCGCGGTTAGAAAAGCTGTGTTCGTTTTATGGTCATACAGCATAAAAATGTGAATAAGCTGCCACGCCTAAAAGAATGGATAGATTTCAATTTCCCAGGGTACATTTTTTACATTTTTTACTATGTAACCTGATTACATTAGTGTAAATGTACCTTAAAACTTTCTCCTGGTCCAAATATTCTTGCTCCATCTCATTCAAAAGAAAGGGGGGGAAAAAGACAATCTGATGTCTAATTTCTAGGGAACTATTTCTGTCTCTCTAAGTACCGTGGGCTTCCCTCTCCTCTCCTCTTCTCCTCACCAAAGTTTAGTAAATTCCCCAGCACCCAGCAGAGTCCTAGGGAGTATGTGAGAGTCCAACCACGAGAGTTCCCTAAATTCGAGCTTTAAGGGGGTGAGGGGAGGCTGTCACTAGGGTCATATTAAATTTCATTTTATCAAAAACAGTAGATAGGCCCAGCCTAAGCCCTTCCTGAAGTTTTAGTTTAGCCACATCATGGACAAAATTATTTTCATGATGTATTCTTTCATTCAACACATCATTTATTAAGTGGCTCTTTTCTCAGGGAAGAAGAGGCCCCTGGAAGGAAAACCAGCTAAGTCACTTTAAAACATATGCATTACTGCTTACGTTACTTTACCTACTCATTCATCCTTTGATTCACAAAACATTTATTTGTATGCCATCCCTAGGAAGGAATACAGAGATACACACACACACACACACACACACACACACTCTGTCCTCCTGGGAGTTCACAAACACCCACTGAGTATCAGGTACACAGTAATAGGCAGCCAGTTTCCAGAAGTCCTTTATATATGTATTTGTTGTATTTGTGTGTGTGTGTGTGTGTGTGTATACACACAATTAGGGAACAGTAATAGGTATCTTCATATATAACTGGGGTGACCCACCACCCAGTGTGCCTGGGACTGAGGAAGATTCCCTGGATGTGGAATGTTCAGCGCTAAAACCAGAGAACTCCCTGGCAAACAATGACTGGTCATCCTCTTAATACAATTATAACATACCTAATTAGGCTTCACAACTACCCCAAGGGCTATTCTTTTCCCATGAAGAAAACTAGGCTCAATGAAGTCACTGGTAGAGCTAGGATTTGACTGTTGGTTTATGCAAATCCACAGCCCATGTGCTTCCCACCACCCTTGTTTCTGAAATGAGAGAGAAAACGTCTGACAGCCCTTGACAGGCACGCCAAACCACCACTACAAGGTTCTGAGCCACTTCCCTTCCACTGCTCTCCTGGCCACCCCCACCATTCTTCACCGCAGACTTCGCACAGCCGGGATTTCATCTGGTTGGCAGTTGTTTGCAGATAGCGTGTAATCTCTCTGTCATTGCAAGACTGAACTTTACAGCAAGTCGTTTAAACCTCTATAGGAATAAATGTCTCCCTCAATAGAAATCAGGGCACCATTTTCAAGCATCAGAAACACACTTTGCACTAGACTGTATTCACATCTCAAATACTATACCCTCAAGCTAGCATCTATAGGAACTCACTGGGATTTAAGAGTTCAACAGACTACATAGACTTTCAAAGACACTGTAAACTTTAAGAGACCTTTGAAAAATAAAGATAAAAATAAAATAGACCTTCGAAATTTCTGTTACTTAATAAACATAATTCAAAATACTAAGGTCACATTCCAACAGAATGTTTGGTCTTCTACAATCTTAGTTGTAACCACCATTGGCACGTCAATTCCACCAAAATCAAGTCTATGGTTTGTAAAGGACTTCAGGCAACATGCACAAACACACCTGCAACCACTCGGTGCTTAAAACAATAGCTCTCACTCCAAAATTCTATCACAGTTGCACTCTTGGTGGAGGGAGGGGGATTCAGCCAAAAAAGATACAGCCTATGTAATTTCCTTGCCACCAGAGTAGAACAGAGCCTGTAGACTTTGTATTTACGTTTTGCTCACACTCTTCATGAATAAAGCGTGCCTCAGTGATCCTCAAATTAACTTTCCACTTGCATAATTTCAGCATTAAAAAGGGACTTTAAGGCCAGATCTTTCACAAGGCCTTTGTGAAACCAAATATAGGCCAGCCTGTGTCTCCGTGCTACTGTGATTACTGGATTTGCTACTTAAAGGTCTTGTGCCTCTTGAAAATGGGGTTGGGGGAGACAGAAAGGCTAAGAAGGGCCTTTCAACAGCAAACACAGTAGAGGCATTCAACACACCCATGGGGGCAGTTAATATGAGTCTGGCTACAGGAGTGCTCTCTGACAAAGGCAGCTCTCTGACCAAGTGCTGGATGCTCTCTGGCTGCAGCAGTAGCTGCTCCACAGGCTTTTATGAACTTGGGAGAGGAACCACCATTGTGACCTTCAAACTACATCAAAAGTCAACGGGCCCAAGTGACTGAATCTTGTGATTTTTCTAAAGCGGCCGGAGAGGGGGGGAAGGGGATGAGATGGTTTCAGTTGGGTGCATTTTCAGGCAAACTAAACACTCTTCTAACATGCTAAAGGAAACCACACCCAGAACAGGTTTGGGGGTGGGGGTGGGGGTGGGAGTTGAGGCACTCAAGTTCTTAAGGCTCACTCTGCTAGGCCCTGCTTTGCCATTTAACTAGGATCTGTAATAATCCTACGAGCCTTTATTATGTACCAGGGACTGTGCCAAACACAGTTTTCACAGAGAATCTCACCTAATTCTTACAACAATCTCATTACACAGAATTTGTATGACCTTCATCCCATAGATGAGAAGCAGGCTCTCAGATTGGTAAGTAATTGTCTGATTTGGAAAGTGAATTGCCAATATTTGGTAAGAGGCACAGAAATAACCACATATGAAAAGCTTAAGATGATGTTAAGTAAAAAATAAAAAGCCAAGACAAAACTGATCTACATAATAGTATTAAACTGCGCATGTGTATATATGTATGTGCTTATATATATTAACTACTGAAAGCTAAAATTTGTAGGACTTGTGGGATCTTATGTGAACTATTCTTTCACTTTTATTTCTTTTCAGGGTGTTAATACTGCTGTGACATAATAAATATATAAAAAGTATCTAGAGTAATAGGAAGGAAGAGCTAGAAATTCAACTTAGTCCATTAATAACCTTCAACCCTGTCTTTGAAAGAACATCCCCCAGTACCCTCTTCAGTACTGCCGCTTTCAACTGGCCACATCCCTTCCATCAGGATGGTTCTGGAGTGTTGCCAGCCAAGAACTGAAGTCCCTTATCTCCCCCTCCCTGTTCCTTTCTTCTTCTCAGGGGCAAAAACTTCCGGCCAACAAGTTTCAGCAGGTGCTTTTTCTCCCCTACCCAATCAATAACCAGTAATTTTAAAGTTTCACCTGCAAACTTGGAGGAAATGAGCACTTACCATGTAACAGATACTTCACATACTTCAAATCCCCTATTAGCGCTAAAACCTGAAGGCACCACTAGATAAGTTTGATGTGCATGAAACTAGACTGAAGTCTAACCAACTGCAAGAACAGGAACATTCATTTAATATAGGATCATTCTACTAAGATGAAGTGTGGCTGAAGGAGAGTATTTCTGCTTTGTTTCTGAAAACATAGTTTTAAAGTATTTAAAAGGTTTATGTCGTAAAGCAGGTATGGACTCATAAATCTCTACTTCCCAGGACATATGCTGAAATTCTGGAATAATTTAGAGAAACTGGCCCAGGGTATTTTTTGTAATTCTCCATTAATATCAACGGGTAAATATGAAAAGAAACTGTTTTTTTAACCTCACAAAGTTCTAGAACTGCAGGATTAGCAAATAGGAAAATCCCAGCCAAATTCTATAAAGACTTCTAAAGTTCAGAATTAGTCAACTATGTTTTAAAGTCCTGTAATCTCTTAGAGCAATACTAAACTTCCTTTAATTAACTATTACACTCAAGATTATTTTTATATTTAGTTAAAATAATCCAGTTTATTAAAAAAAAAAAAGCCCAAAAAACAAAACCTCCTCCATTTAATGAAACTATTTCCTTGTCTGTTCACAGGAGCTAGAAGGCAGGTAGACACGATTACTTTCAAGGCAATGCTTTTTTTTTTTTTTGAGACAGAGTCTCACTCTGTTGCCCAGGCTGGAATACAGTGGCGCAATCTCGGCTCACTGCAACTTCTGCCTCCCAGGTTCAAGTGATTCTCGTGCCTCAGCCTCCAGAGTAGCTGGAATTACAGACGCGCTACCACAGCCGCCTAATTTTTGCATTTTTAGTAGAGACGGGGTTTCACCATCTTGGCCAGGCTGGTTTCAAACTCCTGACCTCAGGTGATCCGCATGCCTCAGCCTCCCAAAGTGCTGGGATTAAGCTGTGAGCCACCAGGCACTGCCAGCAGTGCTTCTTAAACTTGAACAGGCATACAAAGCACTTGGGGATTTTTAAAAAATGAGATTCTGACTTAGTAGGTCTGTGGGGAGGTCGGCCTGAGATCCTACATTTCCAACAAACCCCAAGTCATCTATCTATACTGAATAACAAGGTTCTAAGTCCCCTATTTCACTTTCAAAATTAAAGGAGGTTATGTCATTTCTAAGTTTCTCACTCCAGCAAAT